GAATGAGAACAGGAAATTTTCTATTCATAACAAACTATTTGCATAGGGTGGCAAAAAAAGATGCACATTTTAAGAAAAGAAAAAACCATATTAAAATTATAATGTGCACTATATATCTATAACAAAACATGAATATAAGTCACATACATTTTTTGGCATCCTCTGTACATATAGTACATACACTCAGGATGGAATTTAAAGGGCAGGATAAAGGATATATACAAAAAAGGATAAAGTACAGGGTGGATGCAAAGTTTGTGTGCAATTAAAAATAGTTTAACATAGCAAATTGCACACAAACTTTATGGACACCCTGTATTATCAGAGTACATAAAATATGAGTGAAATCAGTAGTTCTGAATTAAAAGCCTCAATGTACAAAATATTTATTTTTTTGAACATTATTTTCACAGGTATTTATTTAAGAAGACCTAAGAATCAATACATTTTGGTCAGAAAAATAATAAATATAGGTGTTTGGATATGATCAGCAATTCCACTCCTGGGTATATATCCAAGAGAAATAAAAACACGTACAAATGAGCACAAACATTTGTAGTAATAACCATTCATAATAGTTCAAAGAGGGCAAAACCTCCAAAATATTTAAAGTTTTCCAATTTACTGTGTATGTAAAGTGTTATTTTAATAATATTTCGAAGTGAGTGAGTAGTAATGATTTCAAAGTTCACATGAAAGGATGCATGTTTAGGAATTAACAAAATGCAATTTTAAAAAGTATTTGAAAATAAGATGATTTGGTATGATACTTATCTTACAAGATTTTTTATATTAACATTCATCTTATAGATACTATAAACTAAGTATGTGGGACCCATTAGGAAAAAGACAAAATATTTTTAAAAGACAGGCAGATGCATGGATATACAGAATAGGGCACACTTTTTGAATTTATTAGGTAAGGATCATTTATTAGAATTTAGTAAGGATCATTTATTTAATAGATTATGTTAGCTTAAGCTCTCCCACTGGAATAAACAGATGCCTACCTCCCACCTTTGTCTATACAGCTGTTCTCAACCTGTGACTCGTGACCCCTTTGTAACAATGAAAATCCATTGCCACATTAGGAAGGTTGAGAACCACTGGTCTATAAAAATTCATTGGATCAAGAGATAAATGTTTATCAAATAGAGATGGTAAAATATGTGTATTTCTCTAAAAATTGAAAGGATTGGATTTAAAAAAGTGATGGTAAATTTACATCATCCAGATATTTTCAGGTTTGAAACTTAGCTATATCAAAACTAGTCTTATTGAGATGTCTTGAAGAATAAATATATTTCTGAAGTTCTCATAACATTAGTTTGCATGCTTCTGATTGTGATGGAAAATAAATTCTAGAATCACAGTTTCTTTGGTGTGTCAACAACAGGCATTCATCCTTTTATGAGAAAATGCTCTTCCTCCTTCTCGTGCCCTTGCCATTCTCTTCTTCTGCCCTTTGGAACCCGCTGACACCCCAGTCATACTACTTTTTGTTACTTTAATAAATTGCTTTCCAGGGAAATTTTAGAATCATAGCAAAATTGAGAGAAAGGTACAGAAATTTCCCATAAACTCTCCCTGCCTGGCCTCACACATGCATAGACTCCTCTCTTCTCAGCACCCCCCAGCAGGGCATGACCACGGATGAACCGACATAGATGCATCATTACCACCCAAGTGCACAGTTCAGAGACGGATTCACGCTTTGTATGCATTCCATAGGTCTAGACAGTTTTACAATGACAGTTACCACCATTGTAGTATCCTACAGAATATTTTCACTGCCCTGAAATATCCCCTGTGCTCACCTCTTCATCCCTCCCCCTGCAATTCCCTGGCAACCATTGATCCTTTTACTGTTTCCAGACTTTTTGATTTTTCAAAAATGCCGCATAGTTGGAATTAAACATTATGTAGCCTTTTCAGATCGGTTTATTTCACTTAGTATTATACATGTAAGTCTCACCCAGGCCTTTTCAAGGCTTCATAGCTCATTCTTCTTTATGCACTGAGTAACCTCTCTTGTCTGAGTGTACCACAATTTATCCATTCACCTACTAAAGAACTCCTTGGGTGATTCTAAATTTTGGCAATTATGAATAAAGCTGTTATGAACAGCTTTATACAACAGTTCTGTACAAGCGTTTTGTGTTCATAAGTCTTCAACTCCTTTGGGTACATTCCAAGAAGCACAGTTACTGGAATGCGAGCTACGAGTATGTTTAGTTTTCTAAGAAGCTGCCAAACTGGTCTTCAAAGTGACAGTAGGATTTTGCATTCTCATCAGCAATGAATGAGAGTCGGTCATTTCATTTGTAAGTGGAGCCTTCTTTGATTCCTTTTGCAAGATATTTCTCTTCCTTTTCCAAACTCATTTAGCAGTCTTTATTCTGAATCTGACATCTATCATAATCTTTGCTAAAGAAAGTGCAAATCCCTCAGGGGAGTGCAAAGATATGTCTCCTACACTTTACAATCCCTCATTGTTGCCTTGATGTTTTTAAAATGAATTAAGAAAGTTCAAATTTGAGTATGTCAGACTACCAGGCAAATGATTAAATGTGTATCATTGTCTAATAACGTTTTGTTTGAAAATCTATATATATTCACAGTATCTCATGCCAAGCTTGGGGTTAAACAATTTTCACTGTTTCTTTTATGATTTTTTTCAGTTATTTCTTGGCAGTCATTTTATGGGTTAAATACATGATTGATTTATGCAAAAGGGACTTGAAGTTATGGACTCTTAGCCCCAGCATTTTAGCTGCAAACAAACAAAAAAAAACTAAAAAGTTCTTTTTACAAATGAAGGTTGAACCTTTTAAAAATAAAATCTAATGAGGTTAGTATATATCCTTGACATTTTATTTTCAACCAGAGTGAAGGTCACAGCTGAAAGGTCACAAAGATAAATTTGTACGGCTAACAAACAATGCTATTATCCTGCAAAGAAAATGCAGTATTGCTCTCAATAGCTTGTTGCATCTAAAACGGGTGATCAAAACACCATGGTACTGGAACAAAAACAGAGAGGTAGATGTGTGGGACAGAATAGAGAACCAAGAGATGAACTTAGCTACTTACCATTATCTGCTCTTTGACAAGCCAATTAAAAACATTGAGTCAGGAAAAGATTCCCAATTTAACAAATGGTGCTGGGCTAACTGTCTGGCAACCTGTAGAAGACTGAAACTGGACCCAAACTAAGATAGACTCTCACTAGATTAAAGATTTAAACTTAAGACATGAAACTATAAAAATACTAGAAGGAAGTGTAGGGAAATACTTGAAGAAATCGGCCTGGGCGAATATTTTATGAGGAGGACACCCCAGGCAATTGAAGCAACATCAAAAATCCATTACTGGGATCTGATCAAATTAAAAAGCTTCTGCACAGTCAGGAACACAGTAAATAAAGTGTGGGTAGACAATCCTCAGAATGGGAGAAGATACTTGGAGGTTATGTCTCAGACAAAGGTTTAATAACCAGAATCCACAGAGAACTCAAACATATTACCAAGAAAAGAACAAGTGATCCCATCTCAGGGTGGGCAAGAGACTTGAAGAGAAACTTCTCTGAAGAAGACAGGTGCATGGCCTACAGATAAATGAAAAAAATACTCATCATCTTTAACCATCAGAGAAATGCAAATCAAAACTACTTTGAGATATCATCTAACTCCAGAAAGATTAGCCCATATCACAAAATCCCAAAACCAGAGATGATGGCGAGGATGTGGAGAAAAGGGAACACTTTTATGCTGCTGGTGGGATTGCAAACTAATATGTCCCTTTTGGAAAGTAATCTGGAGAATACTTAGAGAACTAAAAATAGACCCGCCATTTGATCCTACAATTCTTCTACTAGGTATATATCCAGAAGACCAAAAATCATACTACAACAAAGATATTTGTACCAGAATGTTTATTGCATCCCAATTCATAATTGCTAGGTCATGGAAGAAGCCCAAGTGCCCATCAACCCACAAATGGATCAATAAATTGTGGTATGTGTACACCATGGAATACTATGCAGCCATAAAGAAAGATGGAGACTTTACCTCCTTCATGTTTACATGGATGGAGCTGGAACATATTCTTCTTTGCAAAGTATCTCAAGAATGGAAGAAAAAGTATCCAATGTACTCAGCCTTACTATGAAACTAATTTATAGCTTTCATATGAAAGTTATAGCCCAATTCTAGCCCAAGAATAGGGAGAAAGGGGAGAGGGAGGGGAGGAGAGGGGGGAGGATGGGTGGAGGGAGGGTGACTGGTGGGAAAAAAAATGAAACAAGTATTTGGGATGCCAATTTTGGTCATCATCACACTTTGCTGTCATTTCATTTCTTAAATTTAAAATGTAAGAATGGGAGTACTCCTAGGTTTGCTAATATAAAATGTTGGCTTTTCATTCATATTCCAGCATTTTATTACTCGAACTTTACATGTAAGTCTTAAGTCTACTCGGTATTTGTTGCTTGGTAATTATGTGATGGAACTCGGTATTTATTCTGTTTATCTGCTGAAATTCCTTCTGAGTTCAGAAGTTTCATAATTTCTGTTTAGGTCCCTCCACTCTCCCATCTTTGGTTTTTACAACAAAGCTATAAATTTACCATTGAAAAGAATGTGTTCAAGTGAGTATGGAAAATAAGGAGCTGGATTCTTTTTAAACAGTGGAAAATGTGCCTTTTTAGAGAAATGAGCAACAGAAATTAGTAACTGCTTTCCTTTTGTATATCACTACATAGCATGGCTTGATCTATTAAATTTGTACCAGATCAACATAATTTTCATGTAAAAAGAAACTTAATTTGTTGAAAATATTCATGAAATAGCTCAATTTCAAAAGCCAAAAACCATGTCAAAATGGTCTGCTTGTATTAGTAGTTAACATATTTCTTGAAGCAAAGCATTCCAAATTTATAATTTGTTCATTTTAAAAACTAACCTGAGATAGATGTCTAATCTGGAATTCTTTTATTTCAGATGAACTCACAAATTCATCAGAAACCAGATTGTCTTTAGAAGATCTCTTCAGGAAAGAGTTTGTGCTTCATGATCCAGAAGCCCGATGGATCAACGGTATGTGTCTACCCTTTTATACGCTGCACTTGCTTTCAGTTCTGTGTAATTGAAATGAGTGATATTTGTCACCAATATTATAATTGATGCTATTTTTCAAAGATTACATATATTATTTAATTAGAAATTGAAACGTTGGCTTTTGTGAGAGAAAGCCAGTTTCTAAAACAGAACATCATTAAAATTATCCTTCAAACATTGCTTATGATCATCAGTTGTATGACTTTAAAGATACATTACATATCTTATGTTTTTCTAGATAATTTTTCTTGGTGTAGCAGTGTAAATTTGGGGAGCCTGTATTCACATACACACACACAAACACACTCATGTGCAAGCACAAACACACACATATGTACATGCTTCAGATCTGGCAATATGATTCCTTTTTATTTCTCTCTTTGTTGCTTCTATTTAGCTTAAGTCATTCAAACTAGCAGACTCTTTGCAAAATTGAAAAGTCTTGGAAATAATATGAAAATATATTTCACTTTGTCTTTTTTCTGGCCTGTCAAAGAAAATACCTCAGCTTTCCTTAAGTCAATATCTGGGATTAAAATTAAAAAAAAAATAACCTCTTAGCAGCTCTGAGTTTGGTTTGTCTTTATCGAGTGTAATAAGGGCATATTGGATGAGCTAGTCTTAAAAAATGTGTTGGTGAAAAGATGTCGGGTTTCATTCTTTGAATATTCTACTTTGCCCAGTCACCATGGTTCGGTAGCTGGTCATCTTTACCCTTCACTTTATTTGGACATAATACCTTTGCTTATATTCAAGTCATAGAGTAAATCATTTGTATGGTAGATTAAAGGAGTTTTGCCTTTTTATCTAATAAAGACCTCTCATTTACAGACCATTCTTTCTGCCTGAATATTCTAATTAAATGTATTTATGCCTGTCAATTAAATTTTCATTTATGGAAGTTATGAAAATGATGTAATTTAACCCAGGATGGGCAAGTGCCAAATCATGCTTCTTTAGTTGGCACTAACAGTTCTTGGACAGCAGCACATACCTAAGATTTGTTTTTGAAAAAATGAATGAATGTTGTTAATTAAAGTCCAATGTCATTTTTGCCTGACTCAAGTTTCAGCTGAAATACGCTAGAAGGTGAATGTGTATCTTTTTTTTTTTTTTTTTGAGACGGAGCCTCAAGCTATCCCCCTGGGTAGAGTGCCATGGCATCGTGCTCACGGCAACCTCCAACTCCTGGGCTCAAGCGAGTCTCCTGCCTCAGCCTCCCAAGTAGCTGGGGCTACAGGCGCCCGCCACAACGCCCGGCCATTTTTTGGTTGCAGCCGTCATTGTTCTTTGGCGGGCCTGGGCTGGGGATTTGAACCTGCCACCTTAGGTGTATGTGGCTGGCGCCTTAGCTGCTTGAGCCACAGGCGCCGAGCCGTGAATGTGTATCTTATCAAAAGTCTTACATATGGGGAACACAAGATAGTGTTTTTATTAATGGATTTGTGAATTTATATTTGGATTGTTCATAGATTTGGGGCCAGCCCTATTCTTTTTGCCTTTGTGCTATGATTCTTTAACCTGTGCATGACAACGGATCACAAACCAAAGGAGACAAATAAAATCTATGTTGTTACCAAGCCTTGTCCTAATACACACATTGCCCACAAGTGCTTCTTCTAAAGTGTGATTGTAATTATGAAAATCACCTATTTACCTGGAAGCAAGTATTTCCTACTGAGGAAAATAACAAAAAGGGAAACTGTCAAAATTTGGTTTTTTTGAATATTTGTAGGCTTATGAGCCAGTAGATTTGAAATGCTCAATAATCTTCTGTGTTATTCACCATGGTTTTGGGCAAATTGTAGAAATTCATGTAGTCTTTGACTTTGGAAAGCAAGAAAAAATTACAGGCCTCATCTCTCATCTCAGGTTAGCGTGGGCTATTTAAGGAGGCATTTCCTCCTGTGTATAAGGGACACTGATATTGAAGCTCCAGAGGGCTGGACAGATATTTAAGCAGTGAACTGCATGCTGAATTAAGTCCCATTTCAACATCTAGGGCACAGATATCTTACATTTCACATGATACCAAAAGAATACATTTGCATTTAGTCATTTTAATCAGTCTTAATTTTTTTTAACTGTCATTGGTAAACTCAGTCTTGAGAAGGCATTCTGGGTCAAAGCTACAGTGTCCTTACCACATTCTAAGTAATACTGACATATATTTTTAGGAAAGAATTAGACACGAAAAGAACACACTTAACTTGAGTAAGCAAAGCCTAAGCTCTGAGAGCCTATGGTACCGCTGGAATAACCAGGGCTCACGGTCAGTGGATTGTGTGCACTCAGGGGCGTGGTGTTTCAAGTAGGAGCATGGATTTTTGCTTTTATCCTACCCAGACCTCTTTTCTGGTAATCACCAAATCCTTGACCTATTTAAGTATTCCTAAAATGGGCAGGAAATACAGAGGGAACTGTATGCTTAGGATGCGTAACCTTGGCCTCGTTATCACCATTTATGTCTAAATGTAAAACGGGAGCTTTTTCTTTATTCTCAAGAGACGTCTCAGGAGGTTTTCCCAGCGTATATGTCACTGGAAGGAGTCCCAGCTAAGCTTATTTGGAAGTTTCATTCACTTCGTAGAGGTCATCTTAGAAACTCTGAATGCTTTGCTGATCAAGGGGAAGGAGGAGGTCTAGACGGCCCTGACACACATGGGTTGGTAGTCGTGAAGCGATGTCATTCATTATGCTGGTTTTCAAATAATATATCTGAGGATGTCACTGCAGCCTTGGATGGATGCTTGTGTTCATGGTTAGCTTAACAGCTGCCTTACCCCAAATCTGGTCATATTCTGAAATCTACATTTTTATAGCATCTTCTTCCTAGCTATGTCACCTTGAAACCTGGAAATCCATCTTCTTTAAAATTATTCATCTATTCATACATTTGATGATCAATTAATCACTAAGAAAGATCTAACATTGAGTGCCTTCTATGTTAAGCTCTGTGAGATGCTTAAATGAATATTTCATATGATAGACTATAACATTAAAGTTAACCCCAGAAAACCAAGTCTTAACCAAGAAACTTATCCAAGCACCCCTAACAGGGAGCAGAGATTGCTCCAGTCCTGATGTTTAAGGAGGATAGTTACCCTCCTTCATGGTTTAACTGACATGCCATTTTCATGTCTAACACATTTATCACTTACCTCCATGACAATCTCATTTTCACAGATTTCATTACTCTTATAGGTGGAAAAACACTTCTATAGCAAAAGACAGGCTAATAAGAAAAATATATAACAAATTTATTTAATAAAATTTTTGAGTGCAATGGGAGTGTTCTGAAATGAAGATCCAAGATCCGAGGAAAGCCGTCTACTTTTATACTTAGGTCCCATGAAGCGCGGGCAGTGATATGGAAATGTGACTGGATAAGAGGATGTGATGTAATGGTGACAGACCACGTGGGGAAACCCCACAAGACCTGTGCATTCCGATTCTTCTTGGACTCTCTAAACGGCATTTTTTCCTCCCTGATATGAGGAAAGACTTCAGGTCTTAAGATCCACTAGCAGATAAAGTAGGTCAGAGAATTCCTTTATGGCCAGGCTCGCTCCTACAGAAAAGGCAGGGGAAGGTTAAAGTAATATTTTTGGGTTTTATGGCTTGATTTGGAGATGGATTCTAGTTTCTATGACCTACTGTAAGAAAAAATAATTCTGGCTTCTATTATCTGCTCCAGGGGAGATAGCGTGGGAGAAGGTCAGAGGCTGATTTTGCTTCTGAGACTTCTTGTGAGGACATCCAATCTCTTTTACTTAGTTCAAAGGACTCATCATGCAGATTGCCATACCGTAGGGTGCCATTTCTGAACCCCAACAACACTAATCCTTTTCTGTTGAATATTGCAGTAATATCTTTGTGTTTCCAGTTACCAATGTAGAGTAGTAACCTACGCAGTCACTAAAAACAGTGTGCAAGCAAATTTATTGTCGTATCCATAATCTAAAGAAGTGAACAAAAGGGACTTTAAAATAATGTTGATATTATGTGACAGCTCGCTGTTTATATTATGTAGCAGCAATTATCTTCTGTTTACATTTTCTTCTTCTTCTTCTTCTTTTTTTTGAGACAGAGTCTCACTTTGTGGTCCTCAGTAGAGTGCCGTGGCATCACAGCTCACAGCACCCTCAAACTCCTGGGCTCAAGCAGTTCTCTTGCCTCAGCCTCCCAAGTAGCTGGCACTACAAGCACCGGCCACACCACATGGTTATTGTTTTTAGAAATGAAGTCTCACTCTTGCTCAGGCTGGTCTCAAACCTGTGAGCTCAGGTGATCCGCCAGCCTCAACTTCCCAGAGTGCTGGGATTACAGGCGTGAGCCAGAGCTCCCAGCTTACCTTTTTCTTCTTATCTCTTCTAATTTTTCTCAATTCAAAATGTATTGTGATTTTTTTATAACTAATAAGGAAGAAAAATGGTCTTTCCCTTTTTAGGGTCTCAGGACTCCAATCCTTCTGGCTACTTCCTAAAATATACAACTTTCTCAGGCCTGGTTAAAAACTGCTAGTGTGCTTCTCAAAAACCACCTAAGGAGCCCTTTCTAGCAACTGAATAAACCCCAAGATCCCCCTTAGCATATCAAGCCTCTCAGCCCTTATGTTGCAGTCCCCGTCATACATGCTAGTCTAATGAATCCTGAAAGCTGTCTTCCCTCTCTCTGGGCCTTTGCCCACACTTTCTTCTTTACCTGGAGTCCCTTCCCCAGTCTGAAACGCACATGTTCTTCTGCTGGACTCCTCACGCCCAGGTGTGACTGACGCCTGGGCAATTCTTTTCCCTGCCAGCTGCGAGGAACATCACCTTGCTATAAACTCTACAGTTTGACCCTCATATAGAAATTTTTATCTAGATTACAATTGTAACTTATCTGATCTCCTTTCAAACAATACTTTTAAAACTGTTATGTTGAAGGTGGAAGTTCTGGATCCCCAACCCCAGTTAACCTGGTTCCATTACTTGGCA